GGGATGGGATGGGATGGGATGGGATGGGATGGGATCAATGGGATGGAGATCAGGGAAAGGTTCCTCCCCCAGAGGGAAGAAGAAGAAGAACGGGGAATGGTCCTGGCAAAAACTGAGCTTAGAAAATCTGATTTGTGAGATTAAAGCCAGGGAATGGCTGGAGGGGTTGGGATGGAGATCAGGGAAAGGTTCCTCCCTCAGAGGGAAGAAGAAGAACAGGGAATGGTCCCGGTTTTGGGGCTCCAGGAGCCTTTGAGCCGCTCCCAGCGATGCCCAGGCTGGGATTGGGATTGGGCTCRGACTGGATGATCCCTGTGGGTCCCTCCCAGCTCAGGACACTCCACAATTCTGCAATTCCAAACTTCCATTCCAAACTCTGTGCTCACCTGATGAAGGGTCTGGAAATGGCCAGCACGGTCCGGATGAACCACGAYGGGTGCACGATGATCAGCGCCTTGAGGTTCTTGCGCAGCCTGGGAGGAACCGAGGCACAAAACGTCACAATCCCAGAAAATTCCCTCAATTCCCCTGTTCTGTGCTGGGCTCTGATGGGCGTTTTAGGGTTGAGCAGCCTCAGCTGGGTGCGGCCATATAAAACCCCACAGGAATTCCATCCCGCTGCTCCGCTCAGGAAATATCCCAATTATTGATACAATGCTCAGGAAATATCCCAATTATTGACACAGTGTTAAGGAAATATCCCAATTATTGATACAACGCTCAGGAAATATCCCAATTATTGATACAACGCTCAGGAAATATCCAAGTTTTTGACACAATGTTCAGGAAATATCCCAATTATTGACACAATGTTCAGGAAATACCCCAATTTTTGACGCAATGCTCAGGAAATATCCCAATTATTGATACAATTTTAAGGAAATATCCCAATTATTGACACAATGCTCAGGAAATATCCCAATTATTGACTCAATGTTCAGGAAATATCCCAATTATTGACACAATGCTCAGGAAATATCCCAAATTTTGATACAATGCTCAGGAAATATCCCAATTATTGATACAATTTTAAGGAAATATCCCAATTATTGACACAATGCTCCAAGGTCAGGTTGGATGGGGCTCAGAACACTCTGGGATATGGAAGGGGTGGAATGAGGTGATTTTTGAGGTCCCTTCCACCCCAAACCATTCTGGTGGGTCTGAGGAACGTGGGGTTGTTCCGACTCGTTCCTGCTGAACAACAGCAACAGTGCAGCTGATTTTCCTCTGAATTGTGGGATTTTGAGCGGGGAGAGGCCCAGGAAGGATAAAAAGACCCCAGCCCGGGGAATTCTCACCTTCTGTCGATCATTTGGTAGCATTTCTTGAGCCAGCCCAGGCCTGGCATCCTCCTGCGGGGCGTGGCCCCGTTCAGGTAGACGATCATGTAATCCTCGGCCACCAGCAGCTCCAGGCTGCTGATCACGTACCTGGTGGGGGTGGCCAAAAAGAGACTCAAAAACATCCTTGGGATTCCTTGGAGTG